CCGTGAATAAAGCATCTGTATGTTTGCTTGACTATGTATACACATGTACACTTCCCACAGTGAAGAGGCGGGAGCTGGCCAGGTTCCAGGACGCCTGAACTGGAGTGCTCCATAGAACACTGGCGTGAGTGGGCATGCTGCCTATACAGCCCTCTGCTTCGAGTCATGGGCTCCCCATACTGGCCATTCCTAAAATGCAGGCCTAGTGCAAGCTTCTCCTACCTTCGCTCCTGCCTAACAAGCTAGCCCGGGCTGCACCTTTCCCGCATAGTCTCCCACCCAGCCAGACATTTCACTATACAGGAGGTTTTCTCCATCCCACTGGACTTGGGTTAGGGTCCAGTCTTGCTTGAAATTCTCCAGATATTTGCACAGTACATAAGGTCACAGCTTTTTCAGTAAATGTTAGCTTAATACTTAAACAGGCCTTACTGGTTTGCCTTGAACAATCCATGTGTGGGAAGATGGAAGGTGGCTTACATGGATAGATTATGTGAGGGTGGGGGGAGTGGTTAGTAAGCTTGGTGATGGAGCATTGTCTAGCATGCATCAGGCTCTAGGTTTGGCCCCTAGTACCAGGAAGAAAAAAGTCAGTAGTATCATAAAACGTAAATAGGTTTTTATGTCCCTTCTTCTGTTAGTCCATGTCTCACCTTAATCTAATAACAGCCACCTCCCAGTCACCTTCCCTTGCCCATTGGGGTTCAGTGGGACCTGAAAGGAATAGTCCCTCTGTAGACAGCTCAGGGAAGCTTTTGCTTTCCTCCTCAAAAAGGAACAGATTTGGTTGACTCATGTGCTCACCACTGCATCATCACGGTCCCTCTTCAGCTGCAATGTAAAAGTGGTACCTGGAGATTCAGCAGCCATCTGGCAACCATGAGGAAAGCCAGCATCCTGTGGATGGTGGAGTGGAAAGCTAGAGAAATCTGGTCCTTGGGGGTTTCTTTAGCCACTTAATGAACCTGTGACTGTAACTCTAAGACTTCAATCTGAGACAATAAACACCTGCTTCACAAGAAACCCTTGACTGGGTTCTCTGCTTATCTGCAGCCAAACTCACTCCTAATCATCAGCTAACCTCAACTTGTCTAACTTTACATCTCTAAAGTATGTCCAGTGAAGTGTTTATTAATGATAATACCATAAGGTTTAAGGAAGTAATTATACTCTGTTGTTTTCCATCTAACACTAGAAACAGTGACTTTCTTAAATGTGTCACATCCTATCAGTTGAAACAACTTTCATGTCAGTGAATGACCCAATTAGAAGATAATGTTTTTAGTTAAAAGGGAAGTTTGGAGCTGGCAAGATGCTTGACAGGTGAAAGGGTAAGGCAGCTGACCTGAGTTGTATCTCTGCAAGGCACGCAAAGTTAGACAGAACCAACCCCATACAGTGGTCTGGTGACCTCCACACTTTAGCATGCATGTGTCACACACACATATGCACACACACACACGCACCCACAGTTTAAACACATTAGACAGATAAAGGAGCAAATGTGCACTGTTTATTTCAATGCAGCAAGCCAGATACAGTAGCACACACCTGTAATTCCTGGACTTGGGAGGTAGAGGTGTGAGCATCTGGAGTTGAGGGCCAGTCTGGATTGCAAAAGACCCTATCTCGAAGAAAAAAAAACAACAGAATGAGGAATAAAATGCTTTGGGGCTGGGGATGTAGCTCACTTAGTAGCATGCTTCCTTGCATTTGGGAAGCCTTGGGCTGGCTGTCTTCAGTATGGCATAAAGCAGCATGGTGGCACAAGCTGTAGCCAGCATCCTGCAGAAGTTCAAAGTTAACTGTTTCTGGTAAATTGTGCAGTATTTAAAAGTATGGGTTTTTTTTTAAGCATTTGGTCATCTTTGGATTTTTTTTTTCCTTAGCACCAAAGATGATTGCTTCAGTGTCAACATCCAGCCACCTGTTGGGGAACTGCTTTTACCTGTGTCCATGTCAGAGAAAGACTTTAAGAAGGAACGAGGTGAGTGGTGACTACAGTTTGCTAGAAAGTTCTACACTAAACAGTATATGCCAGCAGCGGGCCTGACCACACTCTTCCCATTTGTTCTAATGTATGCACTCATACTTTAAAAGTGAGTTTATGTATATTCCTGGCAGGATTGGGAATCAGTTAATATGTCTTTAAAATAATAGACGATCCTTAATCAGTCGTTCAATTCCGAGAGTTGTTTTTTTAGCCCCGTGCTATGCTGGTGTGTGTTAAATTCCAGGAACTGGAAACTCTGATGTTCTTTGTACCTCTGTAAGTCTTTACTTAGGTCTGCATTTGTTTGTGCCTTGTTATAAGGCTGTTTTCCGTCTCCTCCTAATGTGCTTATCTCTATGCACAATAACTAACACACTTTGCTCTTCAGAATGAAGCCCTAATTATACTGTTGGAATGCCTCTATTTTCTTTTGACTGAATTGTATTAAATACTTTGACTAAGTCAGATCTGAAAGATTTGTAAATATATACCAAAGAAAATATGTGCAACAGACTGCAGGTGTTAATATTGTACTTGAGTTAAGCATGCTTTCTAATAAAAGCAAGGGCCTCTTTGTGTATGATATGGGCAAACACCTGGTTTTCCATGTTCACCTACGATGTTCGTAGAGTAGGGCTTATTTAAATACTGTCATCAGCAATGTGAATGTGAAGTAAACTGTTTTTCCTCTGGAGGGTATAACCAAAGATCCTTTTATCTGGAGGCCTTTCAGGTGTATCCATCACTCTTCCAGGAAGTACTGCACACACAAAACTCTCTGGCCCTGGCCGTCTGTGGGTTCAGAGATACCTGTTGCTGAAGCACCCCAGACAACACTATTAGTGTAGAATCTTTTCCCACCTCCGACCTCTTTAAGTGGTTTCTTCCTTTTTTTTTTAAGGGATAACTAAACCCAACTTTGCATTTGTCTTCTTAAAAGTTGAGTATTGCTGTAGAAGAAATTATCTCTGTGGCTTTCTTTTTCCAATGACAAATTAATTGATTCTCGTGTTTGCTGTTCTGCCCTTTGCTGGCTAAAGCCTGCCCCTCTGCCTTACATCTGCTCAGCCAACCAAGGTGAGTGGTGCACCAGGGAGGAAGGCGCCGATTGTAGGGGATAGCCTGCCTGCCTGCCTGCCTGCCTGCCTGTGTCTGTCTGCCCTCGGGTGCCTCTCAAGTTCACCCTGCACATCACTGCATGCCCTTGCTCTCTCTCTTTCTAGGCTTTTGTTTAGGATAGCTGCGATTTCCATCAGATGTTTTGTACTCCGCTGTGACTGAGGGATTTTTCGCTGACTAGCCACACAGAACCGCGAGTGCACGGGAGAGGTGCACACGGAGAACAGCTGCCGGCCTCTGTGGGCTTGTTGCCAAAATTCCTTTTTCTTCTGCCATTTTACTTGTGTGGTTGTTGATTATTTGTCTGAATAAATCTGGCAGCTGTTTGCTATGTTTAATAGAGCAGAAAGGCTACTCTGAATAAAGCTATTTGAAAATGTGTTTATATGAAGTATTTGTAAATCCTCGAGGTCTCTTGGCATTTCTGTATCATTCTCTCTGTCTTCCTGAATTCGCCCTTTGACGTGGGACTTGATGCTGGTGGATTCACCACAGGCTTTTTCAGCCCCATGTTTTTAGTTATGGGTTTCAGCGGGTGTGCTAATAGAGGTCTCAATCCACAACTTTACACAGGGCTTGTGAAACTGCTCCAGGAAGGGAGTTGAGCTTTCACAGAAGATCCCTTAGGATGACTCATCAGAGGGGAATCCTAACCAAAATGAAAATCACTTGTTTATATTTTGTCAGTGTAAAGGTCTAGAAGGTAAGATACAAGTGATTGAAGAAGTGTGTACATTTTGTGACATACTGGCTTTAAAACATGTTTCTACTTGGATGAAGAAATGTGTACATTTTGTGACATACTGGCTTTAAAACATGTTTCTACTTGGATAAATTTACTTAAATCATTAGTATCACATTTCACAGGACATATTTTAAGACCCAAAAAATACATTAAGTGTGTTCATTGGGGTTTAATTTAAAAATTATAAAGAAGCAACAGAAGGAATATGGTTCTGTTTCATTCCATGGATATACAAAACGGAAAAGATGCAACTATTAGAAGTGATCTCAGCAGACCTGCTGCATTCATATTCCTTAAAACTAAAGCTTTGTTTCCAGTACACCTCCTGTCGCATCACTTTTTCTCAGTTGCTGAACTTATGTGGTCAAAACATCAGGAGTGTGGGCTCAGTCACATTGGGCTGTCCTGTATATTTATCCTTAGCCTTCGACTGAAGTGTGACTTATTTGTTGGGAGTTTGGAGCATTGCAGCTAGTGAGCTATTTGTGAGAGCCTTAGGTACTATGAAGTATACGGGAAAAAATGAGTTTAGTTTCTTCAGACAAGTCTCATTTCAGAAGACTCAGGCCAGTGGTTTGTTCCAGGCTGCCTGCTTGCCACCCTCCCCTCCTGTCATTTAAAATTCAAATCCAAAACTTAGAAAAATCTTGTCAAATAAGATTTCATTGCATTTCTTGATCTTCATTTTAACTATTAATTACATCTGATGAGCCTCAATTAAATCTTGTCTTTTACCTTGAACAAAATGCTGTTAAGTTCCACCAAAGCCACGGTCCTTCCCTCTGACAACCTCAGAGTATTTCCTAGAACCTTTACTTTTGTACACATATGGGCAAATATTTAATGATCACCATGGCATATTTTTCTTTCTTGTTAATTTGAGAATACCTGATATATTTTCATTAAGCAAAATCTCTGGCTTAAGAAAGAAACCTAGAATGTTTGCTTAATTTTATTGTGATTTATGCATCCATCTTCTGGGCTCCTAGCTCGCAAGATGCTAATTCCTTAAATGGTCAAACATTTGCTGTTTTCTGGCCCTTAACTACCACAAGCAATCATATTTGATGCCCCTTAATTAGAGCACCTTTCCCCTTCCCGGTTCCTTTCCACCTCAGCAATCGAGACAATACATTTGCTTACCGTGCTGCTCTCCTAAGTGTTCTTTTGCATGTAAATTAATCTTGATTCAGTTTACACTGTCATGCTGAGTGGTACAAATTGCCTATAACAATAAAACAGCATGAGTTAAAAATAAAGGGGGGTGGGAAGGCAGATTGAATGTGTGCCTTACTCGATAGGATGTTACTTTGCTTTATGCCAATACATTAGCTGACGATAATGAATCTTCTGTTCTGAAAAGCATGGTTTAGTTGATTTTTTTAATTTTACTTCAATGGAGCAGTACCTTGTCTTTTATAGAACAAGTTAGACAAACCATTAATGACAAGAGTGTTAAGGTTAAATATGAAGCAATGCATTCACTTCTCTGAGTGCTATCCATCTTTCCATTTACAGGAGCTTGACAAAAGTACTGGCTTTGTACAGCATTTCCTTTAATTACATGCTGCGGGAAACAGGCTTTTAACATAAACATAGTTGCATTCATTTATTCAGCGCTTGCTCTTCAATAGAGCTTAATGGAGACGGTTTAAATCCTAAATGAGTACACACATCTCTCGGCAGTCTTATGTCAGCCTCTGCGCTTCACTTAAAAGCACAGTTTGGCCGCTTGTGTAGTTGTTAAAGCTTCTGCCTAATGTTGAAGTTAAACGGCCTAAGACAGAACGTAGTGTTCCTGGGGCTCCAGAGTGGTTAGTAAGTGTGCTCCTTGTTGAACGTCGATGCTTCTGGTTTTTATCTGGTAGATGGGAGTAGGGTCTTGTGCAGTGTTATTAGCCTTTAGTGTCTTTCTACTGTTGACAAGAGGAACTTTTAAATTGTTCAGATTTTCTCTGCAATAAATAACTAAAATACATTCATAGGCTTGGAGGTTAAATAAATAAGAAGGACTGATAAGTTTTTTGAAAACATGAAATCAAAATTTACCATTTTCATAAACTGTGTATAGTAATGTGCACAAGATCAAAAAGTTGTTGTCTGATAGACACCATTAGTGTTCATGACTTACGTCACAGATAGAAATAGATGGTGTTTACTGTAATCATTTTGGTTTTTAGCCCAGGTGCTAAATTTCAGTGTTTCCCCAAGAGTTTGGTATCTTAGTGAGTCTGTTGCCTGAACAGCACACCACATGCAGCTCTGACGTCAGTGGTGTGTCTTGTATTGACTGGGGGCTTGTCTATAATTTTACTTTACTTGGTTTCCTTTTCTAATGCTATTTGAAATGTCTGCGATTTAGAATTCTGTAACTTACATCTTTCCTGTTCACAAGCTCCTCTATTCAGAAACTCCCAATTGTGTCTTTCTGTTCTGTTCGCCGATGGTGGCTTGATTGTTGAGTGGCTTAGAGCTGCTGTGTTCTAGAGCCGCGTAACTGTTGAGTGACCTCCAGTCCTCACAGCTGTTGCTGAGTGTCACTTGGAATCCACTCCTCAGGTACTGCTGCGGGGGCTGGATCACTCCATTTGTTGTCTGGCAGCATGGTGATAATTTGGGAAGGAATAGGATAAATAGCTAATAATACTAAGAAGTAAGTACTCGCCCAAGTAAGAGCAAGGCAGTTTACATAACCCATTTTCAAAGGGAGTGAAGTTTAAAAAAACAAAAGAAAGAAAAACTTCTTATTTAGAATTCTCAGGTTCTGTCCTGTACTAGTTAAAATCAGATTTATGAAGAATGTTCTGTTTGTTTGTTTTTAACAACATCTCATGTGTTTCCTACACAGTTTTTAATCTCAGAAACACTGGTATCCTTTTAATTTTATGTAATTACTTTATAAATTAACCTCTAAAGTAGTTTATCTTTCATTGAGAAAAGTTTTAAAATTTGACTATGAGTTTAAAACTGTTCAAATCCCTTTCAAAACAAGACCAGCTGAATGGAACCTTCCTTTGTTGTTACAGGAATGCTCACTGGAATGAATGAGACTTCTGCTACAGTCATCGCTGCGCCTCAGAACTTCACTCCCTCCATGATCCTCCAGAAGGTTGTGAATGTTGCCAACCTGGGCGCAGTGCCTTCGGGCCAAGATAACGTTCACAGGTGGGCTCACTAACCTGTGGAGTGAGGAAAATTCCTATATTCATACGCGTACTTTTTAACTCATTGCTTTCTTTGTCAGTAAGTAACCATGTGCCCTGGTAATCTGCTTTATAGATTGGTTTGAGTCAAAGTCTTGTCCTCATCTTATAGCATCCTACTGGCGTGGCTACTTCTGAAGGATGCTCAGACAACTCTACATTTTACAATAACTTGGTAACTTCTTAAGATGCCTTTTATAACGCTGTTAAGAATGTGCCTTATTTTTCTGTATTTGGGTTTCTAGAAAAAACTCTTTTCTAACAGGAGATTGGGCACTGGGTGCACAGACACAGCCTTCCCTTGACAGGTACTCCCTAAGGCTGCTTCTGACTTTTGAGGAGCTGCTGGACAACGAGCAGGCCAAACACAGCCTCTAGGTTAAGACCACCTCCTCCTCCAGGCACCTGAATATCCCAGCATCCGGGTCCTGTGTCCTGAGAGGTAGTGACAAGTGTGGCTCATGTTTGCACTCTGTCTTCTGGTGATGCCGGTCGCTTGAGGGGAAAGTAGAGAAGAATTAGCTCTCATCCACATGGTTATTCAAGAGGTCTTTGTGAGCACAAAGGAGTCATCACAAACTGCGTCATGGCATCCTTTGCCATGCAGATGCCTACACACCGTGTTTGGTTTGTTCTTTCTCATACAGTCATCAATTACAGAAGTAAATTTAGCCTTAAAAGGCAGCCGTTTAGGCCTCTTTTGTTTTTCTTCTGTATCAGCTCAGGCAGAAGAGCCCCTTGTGTAAAATCTGCCATGGTGGTTTGGGGTTTTAGACCTGCTCCGCCCAGCCTCGAGATCTAGAGCAGGTTATTTATCCTCCTTATGGATTTACCTTCACTCCCTATATGAAATGGGCAGAAAGCTAAAGCGGGTGCTGAACTGAAATCCTGGGACAACTGCAGAAGGACATAAGCCTGCCCTCTGCACAGCAGAGAGGCCTTTGTTCACAGCTGCCTGGGTGACTCTGTGCTCTTGGGACAGAGTCAAGTTGTGTGTGCTACTCAAGGAGGGCGTGCTTTGTTTTTATTTTTTGTTTATAGCAACACAAGGGGGTGGAGCTTGGGGTAAATCAGTCGAGAACACTGAGGTTTCCATTTCTTACTTTATAAGAGACCCTGTCCATCTCGTGGAGGGTGGTGATTAAAGTAAGCAAATAGAAGAAAGTCCATCACACTGGCACCATGCTGCAAACTCGACTGTCTGTCTCCTGTGATGCTCAACACGAGAGAAGAGAGAGCTTTTTCAGGAGAAGGAGAGCATTTTAGTTCTGAGTTCTCCTGTTTGATGTTTTTCCCACTTGCACTGGAGACTGAAATCTTGGACATGGCAGGCAAGCTCTCCACTGCCAAGCTGTCCCAGCCCCTGGCTACTCCCTATTGTTTTCCTGTGGTTTTTCTCTGATGTTTATGAGTTCTTAAACTTTACCTTCTGGCTTACTGCGAGGCATTCCCTGCGCTCTAGAACTGCAGCAGTCTGCAGGGTTCATAGTGTCCTGCAATGCGCAGAAGACAGGCGAGTGTTCTCACGCCCAAGTCCGCGTCAGTTCTTGTGTGCTGGTTGTTGGGCTGTAGGTTTTGCTCTTAAGAAAACAGAAGTCAGTCCTACAGATTTTTATTTCTGAGATAAAAAGAAGTAAAATTAGTTTTTAAATTAAGCTGAGTAATATGACAGCTATCTTCCTACTGGAAGAAGGGCTAGGAAGGATGCTTACCATAGTTTTTTGTTTTGTTTTGTTGTTTGTTTTTTTTTTTGTATTTTGTTTTTCTACTGACAGAAATAAGAGTTTATTACAGAAGAGAAAGGCATGCCCGAGAATGAAGTAGGCTGGAGAGCAGAACTGGTCAGAGATTCAAAAGCCAGTTTTATAATCCTGATTATCACATAATTTTCCTGAAACTGGTTCTGGAGGTTTGCAACCTCTTGCCTGGTCAAATGACTTTAATTAAAAATCACAGTCAGTGTTCAATTATTACTGCTAATGCAAAGGAGACAGATAACTCAGAACCACTTAGCTTAGCATGGAGATGGCACTTAATGTGCTCAGTCCTCGTGGACAGGATCTCATGGCGCTTTTCTGTTTAGTTCCATCATTAATGGCCTGGACTTGGGCTCTGCAGCCTGGGGGAGGAGAGTCAATAGGAATAAAAGGTCTATGTAGACTTGATAGACTGTGCTGTCCTAACTTACATCTCAGGTCTACCACACCTGAAAACGTTCATGTGTTTCAAAAATATGGCTATATAATACCCTAAACATTTGTTCTAAGGCTTCCAGGCTATAAGCACTGCATTATTGTATTTTTCAATCAAGTTGGTTCAAGTTATTTTGCTAATTATCTAACACTCTGCCATTCTTTTCAGTTGCTTATAAAATCTATATCAATGTTTCTGTTAATTTCACTTAAATGAAATAACAATTGCTGCTTATAGTTTAATAACAGAAATTGACAGTTTAGTATTTTTTGAGTTGTTGTATATTGTTAAAATTGTAGTGTTTGCTGTTACGTTATCCTACGGGTTGTTGTTTTTGTCTCTAAGCCTAGCTGTCATCTGCTGATGACAACACTGAAATACTGTGAGGCTCTTAATGACTCTCATTCTTTTTGCCAAGAACTTTAGATTATTTTTAAAATGCCAAACATAGAAAGCATTCAACTGTTCCTTTTTAAGATACTAAATTTTGTTGTATGATATTTTGTTACATATGGCATATGTTCTCCTTAATTTTCAAGATCATTTCTTTCCTATAGGACTTTTAATAGTACCATTGTATTCTTCCTAACCATTCAATGAATAAAGTTCCCATTGTCTTGCTTTGAAATAGTCTATTCCTACAGCCCCCCAAAATTTGGTTTTTTTTTATTAAACATTAATTTTAAAAATACATGAGTTCCTAAGAAAAGTAAACCTTGATGAATGTGCCTAAGTGTGCAACAGTATTCAGCGGGAACTTTCACGGGACAAATAATAGAAAGATGATGCCTATCATTTCAACAGTAACACCCCTCTTTAAGAAAAAGATACTTGGCCCTGGTAATGTAGACTTGTAGTCTCAGTTACTCAGGGGCTGAGACAGGAGGATAGAAAGTTCAAGGCCTGCCTTGGCTACTGAGTGAGTTCAAGGTCAGCCTGGACAACCTAGTATGAAGCTGACTCTACATAGGAATCAAATGTGTCTGGGAATGCAGCTGAGTGGTGAACACTTGCCTGGCATTCATGCTGCGCCAGGCTAGCCTCCAGCACTGAGAAAAGAACGAGTCAAGTTTTATAGAGTTCACTTCAAAGACTTAGAGCATTTCCTTAGTGGTTAATACTTGTAAAGATCAACTGAGAAAACATACCCACCTTTAGTTTGCATGGTATTTCTACGTGAACAACCAGTAGCATCAGAAAGCTGACGTGCTGTTGGCCGTCTGTGTCCGCTCTGTCTTCCGGTTGGCTTTTCTCACTGGTTTAGGGAAAGGTGCTGCGTGGAGAGCCTCGCCAGCCATCTTAGAGTGGTAGCAGCCACTGCGCCAGTCTGCTCTTTTCCGGGTCACACTGTTACCCAAACAAACAGCCTGGGGATCACCCCCGAAGCATTTACTGAAAATGTAGTGGAATAGCTTTATTTCTTGTGTGAGATGTGTTTGGTGCACGATGTATTGTGGGAGAGCTGTGAAGGGAATCCATGAGCAGAGCTGTGCTGGCGGGATGGCCAGCATTCTTAGCATTTGCATGGACTCCACAGAGTCAGAAGCTCATGTGTTCTAAGGGAGGCTACTGAGGACAAGGTGTAGGAGTCGTGGGCCTGTCAAGGGCTAGAAAAGATATCTGAGAAAAACCCAGTAAGTTAGAAACTGAGGTGCCATTGCTCGATTGCCCTAATGACAGTGCAGATGATCGATGCTGTACCCAAACTCAAAAACTAGATGTCCATTCATAATCCTCAAATCTCTAAGGATATTCTCTGGAAAGAACTAGGTGGGAGACTGTGAGGCTTGTCTACCTGGAACTTCCATGATGCAGCTCAACCTATCGGGGACCAGCCCTGTGCATGTGTGTTCCAAAGTCCACAGCTTGGGGTAGCCCGGGTTACCTAGCTAGGGACAGCCACATAGCATGGGGAAAAATACTCTCTGTTTATATATTTTCCTCCAAAAGCAGTAAAGGGGTGCTAGTAGGTGAGGGGTACATGCTGAATCTCTCAGGCCTCACACACGCTGTCAACCTGTGCTCTGCCACTGAAGCTGCTTCCAGCCCCCGTGAGGTGTTTGTGGGCTCATTTGTGAGTTAGCTGAAGCAGTGCCCTCAAAGTAGTCCCAGGTCACTAAGAAAGGGTGTCTTCCACCAGCCCAGCACTTCACCTTGTTCAGAGTTGCTACATTTGCATTGGTATTATCTTG